AGGCCGATCCCCTCCGTCTGGATGTGGCTTGGGCAGGAGAGCGATGAGCAACAGCGCCCAACACCTGGGCACGTGGAACAGGCGCTGCATCTGCTCCCAGATGCACAGGAAAACTGCAACAGCGCCTTCGTCCAGAAAAGACCAATGCCGAGGATGAAGGCCACATGCCCCGACGGCCGTGTGCGCACTGTACGACCGAATCAAGGCTGCGAGCTCCTCATGCGTCGGGGGCTCGAGCTCGGGTTCGTCTTCGCACCGGCTGAAGTCAGGATCAGGAAATACTTGTCCTACTCCCCAATGCTTATGCCAGTTTTGAGCTCGAGCTTCGGCTTCTTCCAAGACACCCAGCGGGGCGCCAGATGGCCCTGAGAACTGCGAGAGCCCACACGCAACCCCCTTGGGGACCTCTTCGGTGTACCTGCGTCCCAGACGAGCCCCGCCAGTGAGAGCCTCAGCCACCCAATTCCTCCAAGCCCTGGCCCGCTCCGAGGCCGCATGATGCTCATGTTCTAGGGCCCACTTGCGGACCAGCCAAATCAACTCGTTGAGCTCCGAGGTTGAAGCCGGGTTGACCGCCAATACCCCTGGCCTCCAGGACGCCCAGTGCTTGCAGTCAGTGAAAAGGGGGCTCATCGTTCACCAACTTCCTCAGAATAAGCCCAGCTTGCTGTAACCCCCCCAAGGTAGGCCGTGGCCCATGCCAGAGGTGCAGAATGTCCTGGAGCCGCCTCTCGAACACCCTCCGCATCCGACCTTCTCCGATGGCCCTGGGATGGGTGGACGCGGGTGGGCCTAGCAGGGGGGCCTGGACCACCTTGGGGGTGCTTCCTCATCCTGGAAACCGGGGATCGTCTTCCACCTGTAGTGCACGAGTTAAGATAAGGTCTGCCCTCTGAACCCACTGGGAGGTGACAGTGTCCAACACATATGTTGAACACTTGCCGCACTTGAGAACCTCCAGGAGATCATCCCATTCCAGTGGTCGAGGGTCGCACCCGATCGGACGGTATAACGGGGGCGCCGAGGGTTTCTTCAGCCCGGGCACCGTCACCTGCCTGGGGCTGCCGCTGATTGTCAGCGCAACTGGGCGGCGCGGCCTCGCGCAGGTCGGCCACGTCGCCAAACGGCAACGGTCAACAAAAGGCTTGAGCACATTCGATACAACAAAGTAGTCGGTACATGATCGAGATGTTCCGAGCTGGCACGTCCAATTAGCATCATCGAAGACCACATCTGCCTGGAGGTCCCCTGGCCACTCAGTCTCAATAAGCTGCTCACCAGGAAACTGAGAATATCCTCCCAATATGAAGGGCATCCCGCACGCTCGGAGAACTTCCCCGATGTTGCGAAGGAGGGTGAGGTTTTGTCCCCTGCAGCCGATCCCCGCGTGTAAGTCGACTGAACCGACGACGACTCCCCCCGTGCATAAACCGCTCCAAAGACTTAACCGAAACCGATGATCAGGAGGAATCGCAATTCCAGGGGGTAGTGCGTCGAGGCTTTTGAGGCCCCAAAGCTTCGGTGTAGTCATGCCCACTCCTCCAGACGTGCCAGACTCTGAACGTCCCGACGGCGCCGCTGGGGATAGCAAAGAATTCAGCCCTGCCGTCCGGACGGCATGTTGGACGTCCGCCAGCTGAACCTCAGTCTGGCGGTGCTCCTGGAACAAAAACAAATCGGACTCCACGGCGTCAATCAGCTCTACGAGAGGCCTGCGCGAGACCCTGGAGCCCTTGCCACACTCCACTCCCCACGAGGTAATACTAAACGAACAGACCCCCCAGGCCTCTCGCCGACTATGACGTCGAAGTGGCCTAGTCGAAGGAGAGCCCTCCGCTGGAGGTGCCGATGGGGAAAGAATGCACGCCTGTGGCTGGAAGAGTGGCTGGTAGGCACGAGCCCCCATCCAGTCCACCTCGCAAGGCCCCCGCTTCGCCACAAATCTGGAACCTTGCTTCCCCGCGACCTCCACCAAAGTGGTCGCGGCCCTGGCGGGCCTGCCTCTCGCGCCCGCCGAAACATCAGGTGTACGCAAAGAGGGGCCAGACGCCAATGGAGAACTCGAGGGGGAACTGAGCGCCACCTCCGCCACCTCGCCGAACATGTTACCCCCCCCCCCCCCCCCCCCCCCCCTGAGGCCCATCACCTGCAGGTGCGGGGGCATCATCACCAGGGACTTGGCCAGCCCCAGCACCAGGGACATGATGACCTGCAGATGCGGCTGCCGCAGCAGGCGCTGGGGGTTCACGCCTGGGGCGCTTGGCGAGGGCCGCGGGGTTCCCCAGCGTCTTGAAGAGGCCCTCATACTGCCCAGCTTTGCCACCCTGCATGAGATCTTGGAGCTGCTGCTTGCAATCCTCGGCAACCCTGGAGTCAATCGCCGATGTCGAAGTAGCCCCAGTATCACAAGCATATCCGCCAGAAGCCGCCCGCTGGGCCGCCGCCTCGGCCTCCTGTCTCTGGCGCGCTTCCTCCCCCTGCTGGAATTGGAGCCCTGCCGCCGACAAATCGCACAGGAGGTCAACCACCGACTGGAACTGGGCCGCCTTCGCCGACTTGAAGCCTGCTGGGAGATGGCCGAACAAAGGTCTCGACCAAGCCCGTGATGGCCGACTTTCCATCAGCTCCGACAGGGTGAAGGACGGCGCGGCGGTGAAGCCGCTGCAACTCCTCCTCCTCGCGCTTGACAGGCTCCGCCAACTTCTTCTGAGACCCCAGGCACTCAGCAAGGTCCTGCTCGAGCTCGGCCTGCTTCTGCTTGATGGATGCCTCCGTAGACTGCGCCGTTTGAAGCTGGCCTTGGTAGTGGGCCAACTTGTCCTGATGAGAGCGCACGCGCATCCAAGGCGCCTGGCCCTGGTTGTCTTCAGGCACGGCGGACGCGACTGGGATCTGGGCCCTTGCTGCCACAACCAGCGGGTGCTCGGGCCCAAGTCCTGCCAAGGTAAGCTGCTCGATTGCTGCCGACAAGTACTCCTGCTTGGCAGCCCTGTTGTTCTCACCTCCTTTCCCCTTGGCACGAGCAGCAGCACCTCCTTTGCCGAACCCTGGACCAAGCTTGGCAGATGCACCTCCGCTTGGGGAACTACTGGCGCCCAGGTTTGCAGCATCGCGATCGGACATGGAATCACCTTTGCGGCCTCGGCCACTCTTGCCCACCAGCTGCCACGCTTCCTGGGCTTGCTGCTCGCCTGTTCTCCAGGGTCTCGGGGGCCCTTTGACAATATCACGAACAACAACGTCGCGAATCCACTTCTCACAGCGAAAACACCTGCTCCACTTCACCAGGTTGTACTGGTAACCGCACGAGTTCTTGCCATAGCACGTCTTGTAACCACTCTGAGAATGCGGGCGGTCACGCGGCTGCCGATGAGGCCCCTTGGGCGGGTCTGGGACCATCACACGCGCGCGCGACACGCCGAAAAGAAACCTCGTCTGGCCAGGCAAACGGGGGGCACTGTGGGGGCCGCTGCTCCCCCTTGCCAGCGAGGCCAGGTCCTGAGCCGAGGCTACGGACCTTGAGCCAACATGGCTACGGACCTTCAGGATACTCTGCGGGATTCGCAATCTCTGGGTCGAACCCCTTGCGCCCCAGCCCCTCAAAATGACGTTGAGCACACATGAGTCCGTCATCCGCCTCAGGCGCTGCTTGGCCATCGCCGTTTTGGTCTGATGCAGATCGAGGCACCGCTGCAGCTTGATCCGTTGGATTTCAGCTCGAGGCTCCTCTCCCGCCTCCTGGGGCTGAACGATCCTCTGCTGACAGAACAGGGACCCACTTTCAGCATCCTGCATCCTGGCGTGCACTTAGTCCGAACGACGAACTTCCAGCTAGAGGTTTTGCTTCCTTGATTGAAAAACATGCTCCAGCTTCCGAAAAAAAAAAAAAAAAAAAAAAAAAAAAAAAAAAAAAAAAAAAAAAAAAAAACCCCCCGCCTTCGGGGAGACATGCGACTCGGGTGTGGTGTGGGGGGGGGGGCGCGGGCTGGCCCGACGGGGCCGTCACACGAGCATGACGAGGCCAAATGTTTTAGATTTGGGCGCGGGCTCCCGGTGCAAGCATCTCACGGAACGGGACCGTCAAAATCCAAGACGCGCCGGTCAAAAAAATTGGGGCAAGCCGAGTTCCGCCCTACTCGAGTCTTATGTTTCCCTGATACTTACGGCCCCACGGGGCTCAGCGTTTACGCTGCGGCCCCCGATTGGCCGTGGCGCAACCTGGAGTGCCGTAGGTGGGGCGGTGCCGTCTGTCCTTTGGTCGACACGTAGCCTGAGATCTGGGCGCTGCAACTCTTGCGCAACTGGCGTCTTCGCCCGGTTTCGGTCCCCGGTGTCATCACAGGTCGGTCTGGCTCGACAGATGCCGCAGAAAGATTGGGTCTGGGGCTCCAATTGTGATCTCCTGCGATGCTGCAGCTTTGGACAACATCGGATCTCAAGGCACGTGATTAACTACGACCCTCCATCTGCGAGGCCAGCCTCGTGTTGCGAGCGCTCGCGCCATGCATGCTCGCGCCATGCATGCGAGCTCTCAACGCCCCGACTGTACATGCCCACGGAGACTCGTGGGCATGTACAGTCGGGGCGTTGACCTAAGGAACCCTAAATAAGGAACGAGGCCCCTTGTTTCCATAACTGAACCTTCGATTTCCTATCGAAAACATCAGGAAAGCCTGAGGCAAGCTGTGAAACACTTGAGGAACGCGGAGCCCCTCCCCAACGAAAAAGGTTCCTTCTTCAAGGCCCCGACTGAATGTGTGTCTTTCTTCCGTCACTCACCTGGCAGGACCGGCCAGCACTGGGCAATCCTACCGCACTCGGATGTGCCTCGGATCGGAACGCACCGGTACGGCACCGACATCTAAACGTATCGGCTGCGCAACAGCGCCACGGAGGCATCGGGCAGCGCGGGATCGCCCGAAAATCGGAACCGAATCGAGTGGGGTCGGTCGAAGCCGAGGTCGAATCGCATCGACCGAATCGACGTTGGCCCTGCTCAC